ACTTTGTAAAACATACTCTTTTTAAATACAAAACACTCCAAAAGAATGGTGCCATCGTTATAAGAAAGCACAAATGCAGCTGAACTAACCGTTTTTTTGTAAAGTATTCTTATCTGGAATCAAAGAAACTCAACTCATGTGATCGATCAACCGTGTTATAAAGTCGTGGTTTATTAAACAAACAAGGGGCCGTAACTCACCGATAAGAACTAGAAGTTTATACAGAGGCTGGTTTCGCGGTGGCATTAGTTAGTTATAGTTTTCTGGGGAAAATATGACAGGCGAGTTTATTATATATTTTCATCGGAATAGAGTTCCTTTTGTGGTCGTACAGTGCTGAGCTTAAGAATGGATCTCGGTGACCTAGGTGGACTCCAATTTCCATATGGGATTCTTTTTCAAACGTTGAAGGACTTTGCTACAACTTTTCACGAACATCCAAATAAAAGTAGTCAGCTGATATTGTTTTGTCCCAGATTACGAAAGTGTGATACGAACCTACTTGCTACATTACTAAATTATTAAACATAATTAAGGATGCGATTTATTGATCGTACTTGAAGTGAGGTGCTACACTTCAGAGCTGCCGGAACTTACCGAATCAAGTCAAAAGAAATTCAATCGCATATTATTCGTGTCGAGTACGTTCCGATATTACAGCGTAAAACTACTTCATCAAGTTTCGTTGTTCTTAGCAAGTGAATCGAAGTAAGTAATCTCCTGGTCTTAAACAAAACTTGTGGTCAGCGGCAAAGATGTTAAAGAAGAGTGTACATGCTTCCCAGTCGTTCATTTATCTTTACATCAAGTTAAGGAGGCTAGGTTACTTATAACCAGACACAACACATGGTTGTTCCCAAAATGTATTGCCAGCCCCGAAAGGGGTGGCACTCAGAAAAGTGGGTAGACGAATACCAGCAGTTTGAAGTTGGTCTGGAATCCACTGTGTGGATCAAAAAAACTTACGTGTCGGTTAAGAGTCGTGGAGAAACCGCAAATATAGAATAACCATATGATGGAAGCTTTGCTGCCACAAATCATCTATTTTTATTAAAGCTATACTGTTTGACTGCTGCCATTTTCAGACACTGAAGGGAAGAAGAAAAATATAGTTGGCAAGTCCGAATGATTTCATTTAAATCCCACCTCACTTGTACACAGTGAGATTAGCAAAGCCATCTCAAAATGGCAAGAGGCTGGTTAGGATTTCAGTCGTAGTCTGTCGAATAAAGATAATTTACCAAGTCTGCTGATTTAATCGGGTGACCTAGTTTAGGCACGACCCAGTATTTTCCGCAAACAAGCATGCAAGCGGAATATGGGATTTTCAGTACACTAACTTAATTTGATAATTTTTACTTAGAATGTTCTTTTGGGTTTTTGCCTACTCAGCGAATCTTTCTCGTGCAGTGGCCTTTCCTATGTAGAGCGAAAGATAGCTCGCCAGGCGAGCTGACTCAGCGAGAAAACACAGTTCCTTGGTGTGGAGATGTTGTCTGCCAGATTTGTGATTAGGTTTAACCCGTGACTCTAACCCAGTCGTGTTAAACGCATACTACTGACCTAGTCAATCATAAGGCGGGTTTGTTATTGATAGATTGCTGTAATTATTTCTTGATAAGAGGTAGGCGGCAGATTGCAAAATAAAAACAGAACTGTTTAAAACCGAAAAATTGCACTTTACTTATGTATCGAGCCGAGATTAAATTCGTGAAATAGTCCCTTAGTTATTTGAAGCTGGTTAGATTAACTGAAGGACACGAACTCCTTACCGCCACGCACTTCTGCGCAGGAAAAATTCGAACTCTGGTTTTAGTACATCTGCTAGCCTTTTCGAAATTCGTTCTTTTCGCACACACACACACACACACACACACACTTATTAAAGTACGTCAGTTTCGTTTAAAGAACACGTGGCGGTCCGTAGTAGTAGTAGCAGGCAAGGTGTTAGTGCTTGGATCCCTGGCACGTCGCCTCGGGACCCTAACAGTTTCAGCGAGCAAATAGGTGAGGCGTTTATCACATGAGACTATTCCATTGTCGCTATTATTAGGCAAGTGGAAGCCGAAGTGACAGCTATATGACAGCAAAAGCCATCACCTCTGGTACGATTCAGGTAGAGGAAAATGCCTGCCTCCAAAATTATCGTTCGTAAAATTCCAAATTGATTTAAAGTAGTATTTTCTTCGTGTTGTGATTGCAAATTGAGTCAGAGCTATTGTGAAAGCGTGCGTTATTTGAGCAAATGCGCCCTGAAATTTTTCACGAAAGTTGGGAACGCGATTGCAACGTTTTCCTTATCCTACAGAATATATGGTGGAAACAAACGGTCTACAGCCTTGTGGTCATTTAACACATAATTAACCTACCTATTAGGAATAAATGTAAGTGTTGCATGAATTTCTACATGTGTAGTTTTGTTCCAGTCTTTGCTTGCTAGTAAAAGTTGTAACCACATTTACACTAACTGACGATGCTATTCAATGACACTTCCCGTGACCAAAATCTAAGTGCAGTCTACCATGGACACGTTGACATACAAGTTCCAAAGTCCGAAACGTGGACACCCAGGTTTCTTGACGCGTCTCGAAGACTACACTGGTGACTAAACGCGCGCCAGATTAATCGAGTAATAATTGTCAGCAGGCACACTGACTTATGCAGCTGAATGAATTGGCTGTTTTCGCAGCCTTGGCCATGATCCAGCACAGCAATCCCACCGTACTTTATTTTGACTCGGGGCAGGTTTGTATGAAGGTCCCGCATAATTAGAAATACAGACAATTAAGCTAAAGTGGCATCATCCACATACAGTCGGTTCTATGAAAACCAGAATATATTTAGGTATTTTAGACTATGAAATTTATGAAGCATAGTATCTAAGTGGCAGAGGCCTTTTTGAAAAGCAAACTTGGCAACATCATCGATGTAGTGGTTTGCGTTTTGTACGTGGAAGTACCCAGGACTCTGTGGGAGTAGATTGCTATCAACATGTTGGGGATCCACGATTCCCCAAGATTGGTTTCTGATTTTTTTTACATTTATTTATTAACATTTGTTTTGTGTCGCTTTTATCAAGTCAAGGTCAACCTTGACTCGAATTTCTTCCGATTTCACTTCTTCTCTGCACGTGGCTGACGTGAGTAAAGCTCTCTACTCGAGCTCTGGTCTTTTTGTGTATTAGCCTGGGAAGGTCGGTTCTAGCTTCAGCAAGGGATCTGGTACCGTTATTTGAGTGGTCTTCTCTTTCGTTACGGGCAAACGTAACACAACAATACCCACATTATGTTCATTACCTATTGCAAAACTGATGTACTGAAATGTGATTGGTTCGAGCCTGAAATTTAGAGTAAATTTCAGTAACTGCTTTTACTAATTAGGACATTGGTATTTCAATTACTAGTCCCTTCTGCAGCCACGACACCATTGATGCTGTCAAGAATAGTTTCGATTGAGAAGCTATTAAACCAGTACTAAAGTGTCCAGGAGGACTAAAGCTCTCTCGAGACCTTTACAGTTACGAGATTTTAAGAACTTTGGAGTGGTATGAGGGAATCGGATCTGCAGCTACTTATGTCTATGGCCCAGATAAAATAACGAACTAATCAACTTTCTGAAGATTATTTTATACCTTTCAGCTTAAACTCTGCTCATGTAAAATGATTGGTAGTACCTGAAAATTCTACGTTTTTATGCATTGGATGATTTCTAAATAACATAGTTAGGCAAATTCATTTTTTAAATAAATGTAACAATTTGTTAGACAAGTCGCTGGTTAAGATTGTATCACAGTCAAAAAATTTCAATGTGGGCACCTTTGGATTTATGTAGGTACCAGTGGAATACAACAACCTTGCTAAACTGGAGCCCGCAGAAGCGTTAAGCGCATTTAGTGTTAGGTACTTTAGACCAGGTGACTCAACTTTTCGAAACCTTCGACTAATCTAACCAAAATAAGGAGAACAATTCCTGGAATCCACTCCAATTACCACCCTTTTATTTTTTTAGAGCTGTGACCATCGGCTTCTACTGAAGTGCATTTTATCCTAAAATTAAATCACAAATCTGTTAGAGGATCGCCAAAGTATACGATCAGTAGATTTGTTAACATAATCACAACCTAAATTGTTATTGAGCCATCAATAAAACACAGGCGAGGGATAAAGGGACGATTTTGCAGGTGGAGTAAGACCCATCAGCAAACGTATGCACTTAAGCACTGCACTTATGGTTCAAGTAAACAGGGAAAGCAAATCAAGTCCACTTGTTGTAGCCTGGAAGGAAGACAGTGTTCTTAAAGCCTACATTCATTTGGTGGCATTCGTAAAACCATTGCAGCCAGGTCAAATGTTTTGCTTCTAGTTCTGAAGATGGAAGGAGAGTTGAGGAATATGGTGAACCCAGCCCACGTCCTGTTTGGCCTCGAAAGTGGCCACCAGAATTCTGAGAGATGATTCCAGGGGAACGAGGTCGGCCCACGTGGTTGAAATTACAGAGTGTATTTGAATGTCCTTGTTTCCAATCTTTTATTATAGCCTTTCCCAGCCAATTTAATTTCCAATCCAGAGCAACGTCTAAACATGCCGCTTCCGAAACATCTACGGCAATACAGAACTGACGAAAAAATGTAACTTGCACCACGAATGCCAGTGACGCATTTCTGCCTGCTAAACCTCTTGTGAAAAGGCAAATAAAGTAAAAACGATTCAGCCCTACCAAAGTCCAACGCGCTTCCGACCAAAGCCAGCCCACCTGCTGGATGTGCGCGAAAACCTGCAGTGTTGGGGCTGACGCGTCTAAACAAGTGCTGGCTTCGACATAGGCTGTTAAGTGGCCAATCAGGCAACGGCAACGCCTATTGGTGCGACTCCGCGTGACACCAGTCGCTGCCGTGAGCGCTTCACAACTTCCAATTTCGCCTTCGTCGCGTTGCCGTGAATTACGCGGGGCTTTCGACTGCTTTGTCTTTCAGTAGCCCAGTTGTTGAAAAATAATGGACAATGACTCGTAACGGACATCTTGAAATGCGAGCTTGCTCACTCCCTCCTGAAAATTCGGTTGCATCAAGTGGATATTTACCACCGAAGAGCTGTATTCTTAAACACAATGACGAATCAGGCCAATTATCTTTGGAGAAATCTGAAAATGCTGAGGTTACAGGGTCAAAGCCAAAGGCCTCAAATTGTGACTACTTAGGCCTTGCAGATGACGTATTTCAGGGGTGTAGTGACTGCGACCTTTGTTCCCCTGTATCGGCTGATGCTGCCAATGTTAGTAACAAACACTCGCTCAGCAACTGCAGCATTGCATTCACTGACGAAGATAGCGGTTGTCAGCTGCTCGACTGTACTAACGTTCTCCGTGCTGGTCCGAAGTGTCGTATGGGAAGAGCTTACTCTGTCTCGACGCTGGATTCTCCGTCAATTCAGTCATTTAATAATAAGGATGAATTTTTGGCAGCGATGACTGAAGATTTAGCCGACTGGATGTCGCGCTTGTATCCAGAGATCGCTAGAGACTTAGATTCGGACAACTTCTTTGATCGAATTTCCGATGGCGTGCTGCTCTGTCATCATGCAAACGAACTCCACCGATTGCTTGAACGTGAATTCTGGGTAAATCTCGAAAGTGGTGAACGACAGCTACAAGGTGTCCAAGTTGGTGGGATTAAGCCTATTCTCCCTGACAACCCTCCAGTCTTCCAAGCACGGGGCCTTAGTGTCATCAATTTAGCAGGAGGCAGCTTTTGGGCCCGTGATAATGTTGCGAACTTTATCCTCTGGTGCCGTGCTATGCGACTGCCCGATTCCATCTTGTTTGAAACCGAAGATCTAGTGTCTCGCAAAAATCTCCGCAGTGTTATCGTTTGTTTATTGGAACTAGCCCGTCTTGGAGGACGTGTTGGCATGGAGGTGCCTGAAATCATCTACCTTGAGAAAGAAATTGATGGTGAGATCGCTTTGGAAGAGCGCGCTTTTGTTAGCGATCGTGGAACAGATCCATTAGATCTACCAGATTGTAGCTGGGTTGGCGATACTGCAGAACTCAAGATCAAAACCTCAAATGTGTCAGCGGGAACTGAAGAAGAGTTTAATACATCTGAGTGTTCTACTGACTCATTCTCCGCAAAGATTGCTGTACCTGCGAAGCCCACGACAAACAGGTCTACGAGGACTGCTATGCTGAGAGAAAAGAAAGTGAAACTTGAGATGGAAGAGCAGAGGAAGCCGGAAGCCTTCAGAGATGACCAGTCGGGAGAGGATAAAGTGAAAAAACCACGCTATAACCGACCTGTGGTTGACATGCGTACATTAGACGAAATCGTAAGTCATCAATTCCAGATTTTCACTCTAGACATTTACAGAGTTTTAAAGCTTAAAATTTTTAGAAACATAAGCATAAACGGAAAGTGTTTCTTTGTAAGTGTTTTTACACGAGAAAATAAGTAAAAAAGAGTGGGGAGGAAGGAGTTTTGTTAATAATGGTGTTAAAATACTTAAGAAATGTTGGATACTTAAAAAGAAATAGCGAAATTATTGGTTTATGTTTTGGTTCGTATGAACTAAGTTCTTATCCTTTTCTAATGACGTGTCGCGGTGCTCCTGACACACATTACTTCGATTCAATTAAAACCACCTCTAAGTATCTCAAGCAGTTACCCCAGATAAGCGTCTTTATTGCAGGACAATAGGCGTCGCCTCAACATTTAGATTTAAATTTCGCACACTAGTCACCTTGTTTATTTTGCTTGGATCAATTCACACAACATATTGCGAACCCGTGCCCACGTGCACCTGTGAGCCTTGGAGCACAGCTGCCTCCCCAGGGTGCTCTAGGCCCAAAGGGGGCGAAGAACGAGCCATTGGCGTCCGCCCCTGGCGACGCCACTTGGCAGAGCTGCTAAGCAAAGTGAATAAAATCGAACCTTTTGGGTCACTGCAGAGAAAGTAAACACCGGGTTCTAGGAATTGGCAGCTTTAATTATTTTAGGCCCCCTGCTCAAGCAAAAAAATACAAGGTTTGAACTTTCCGACATTAACATTTTATTAATTTGTTTCCTGGTGTCCATTGCCTATATTAACGTATAAAATTTGCGTGCATGTAAAGTGCTGACTGGTTTAGAACTAGTACGTCGTCGCCTTGGGTGCTAAGTGACCGTTAACCATGATAAACGAAATAAATTACCTGGTGGCACATTCGTTTTGGCCCTTATGGTAGTGAATATTATTGGGACCTATTTAGTGCATAGTTAATCAGGCAAATTATTTCATCTAACCACGTGGAAGATGCCACACCATCGTGAGTGAGCTAACTGATTGATTACTTTGAATGTTTAATAACTATTTTCCAAAGGTTCTCCTTTAAGTGCCACTTTATTTGCTGACAACGCATCACGCCGACCCACGGTGTATGTAACTTCCTTCTAGACAAGCACTGACAACTCGAATAATGACTCACATAGCACGCTCTTCTAGAAAAAATTCAATACAGCACCAACGGAGCATTGAGGGATGTTTTAGTCAAAACAAAACGGTGCCCACCTTCGTGAATGTAGGAACCCCAACCCGTTCTTTCACGATTTTAGCAAGTGAATCAAGCCTCTTAAGCTGGCCCATTAAATTTACTGTGCAGCCAATCACTGTGACGGTCTGATGTTTCCCTTTACCAGAGCAATTTTATAATCAATTTGAAATACTACTCTAGGGTGAGATAATGCATTCAAGGATGCCACGTCTGGCGGGCAAGGTGGATATCGTAACTAATCCAAATCCACAGAAATGTTGTACAGTGATTAAACTTGGTAGGTGTGGCAGTACAGCCATCACCAATTCAAGATACTTTACCTTAGTAACAGAAGGTGATATATCAATCTAACATATACACGCGGGGATATAATATGTTGACTCCTTGAAGACCATGATTTTAAAGTCCCTCTGCACTGATGCACTAAATTGACTCTGGCGAGTGTGCTAAACCCAAAGTCGACTGGTCGATTTTCTTTAGAGTTGACAATTTTTGATAATGGGGTGGTTTGACAAAAGTGAAAAGGATGTCAGGATATAATGTTTGCTAAGTCGAAAAAAATTCAGGATCTGTCACTATCATAATTTCTTTACAGAGGCCTCATCATGTTCTCATCGCAATATATTGTGCTAATGCACATATCTTTTAATTTCGGGAAATAATTGATCATAATGAGAAAGTGGGCTCAGTGCCCATATGACGGATGTCTGAAATTTGTGAAAAATAATATTAATTCTTCAATGACACCATAATGCGTTTATGATTAAATTGTAAAAACTTTAAAGTACATTTCAACACATCAAAATGCCTAACTTGACCGGTTAAGGTGTTGATATTTATTTTTAATCGAAGTAAGCTTGAGTTTGCTAATTGCCCTCAGACGTCAAATTTCTATTTCATTATCATAAACGACAGCCTCTTCCTTAGTCTGAACCGCAAAATTCGCCCATATACTCGTGACCTTTTAAGGTGAAATGTTTGTTCTCTCAAAACTGATGGCGGTCGCTCTGTAAACAATTCGCCAAATCGCCGGTTGTTAGCACAAAATGAGGGCTAGTGTTGTGTACTCTGTATTATAAATGCAAATAATTCAAATTTTCAGTTTTTTAATTTAAACAACCCAAAAGATGTCTTGAAGTTAAATCTGCACTGAGTTGTGGATTGTGTTCTGTACAATAAAACTTGGCTTTACACTTGCCAATATTTTCGAGTCTGCCTAAATTTATGATATCCAGAGTGGGCAGGTATTTGAACATTCCATCGCTGATGCTAATTCGTCGGTCACATTCTGTCCATCCGCAAGAGTAAATGGTCGCAAATTACCAGACGAGTTCTGTAAAATAACGCAGTTGTTTTTTATGCGCTGACCTTTTGTATGGACGATCACAGCTTCATAGTAGTTTATCTCACCCTTCACATCAATCGCACTGTTGCGGAAACGAAACTTAATAGAGAGTGGGGATACCAAGTATTATTCAATTTTAAGCCTAAAGAGGCTCAGGAATCACACCAATGTACAAAGCCTCGATGGAGCGACGCGATTGCCTTTCATCTTACAAACGCCTAGGCAAAATTTAATTTAAGCAACCGGCGACCTGTTTGACCAAAACGGTTGGCTTGCGCTGATGTTCGTGGGTCTGCCTCCCGTTGGCTGACTCAGTCGTCTGCCACGTGTTAGTCATCGCCTTCGACCACAATTTCGTATGCGTGCGTGCGCACGCGCCGCCCAGCACCCCCCTCTTCTTCGTCTGGGGCGCGTTGGACTTGACGCGTTGCGTAAGGCTTCGCAGCCAATGTTCGTTGGGGGTCAGTCTCGCCTCGATACCGCAGTCAACGGCATTTTACGAGCAAATGACTAATTTAACATCCGTAAACAAATAAATAGTGAATAATTGATATGTTTATCCTCGGCAAGATATTTTCGTACTGCCTTTTAAGATTTTAGGTGGTGCTTTGTGGAACAAAGTGGCGGATTTACACAATGGGCTTAATTTAGACGTGTGCTTTAACTGCGGTTGCAGGCGATGCTGCTTGTGAAGCTAGATTTTTTTGAAGAGTTCATCGTTAATAGTGTGTTCGATTTATCGAAGTTGCAAGTAAAATGTAAGACAGCCGTTCAGTTTACATAATCTCAAATTTGGGCATTAGACGGTGTTAAGTAGATGCCAAATGTAGTCGAAGTCAGGTACTTTGTCTCGGTCATGTTTATTAAAGATGTCAGTGTTCATATGGTGACATTTTCAGTTAAGATGGAACCTCCCAATTCAACTCAGAGACTGCTTTATAAATTGACTTGAGCCAATCAATCTCCCCAATGTCCGAAATATTCGTCAATTCAGTTACATAATACTCTATAGGCAGCTCGACTGTTTATCCCACTAAAGTCTTTGTAAAAGCCATCTTTTGAGATTTTTTGCTTAGTAAATAGTAATTATTTTATCTTTTTTTTTCAAGTAAAATTCATAATTATTTGTCAATGGGATTCTATTCACCGTCCGATTCCTACTAAGTAACGACACCCGATCAGTTAACTACTCTCTAAAAGCAAAAATATATCAAAGTAAGTGTCCTACTAGACAGTGTATTTAGGGAGAATGGGTAGCAGTCAAAACAACTGATGATTTTTTTCCAAATGGGCCACCTTTTGCAACTGTTCATTGCAAAATATAACGTCAAGAAACACTAAAATTGGTTTAAAAGTTATTAAAATAAGAATGTTCTTCGTGAAAAAAAGCACGCACAACAGTTGTGGAGATTCCTTCGAAGTGTGAACCCTGCTTTCGCAGACTCCGATGATTACTCAACTGAGAGCTTCGGTGCAACTGGCACTTCGGGAAAGTTAAGATCAATGAATTAGGTTTTCTAAAGCTGAATTTTTGAAATAGTTAACCTTGTGTGCCTGTCACGTGCTTGTGTCACTTCGCATACACCCAAACACTTTTGAACGCACAACGTCCTTACATATCGGAAACAACTAGAGCAGCGAGTGTCTGAAAAAAATGCGGTACTTAAATTCTGAAGTGACAAAACGTGGACTTGGCTGATTCCCAGGGGTATAAAGTTAACATGTCACCAAGGGAGCGGCTAACCGTCTTAGTACACTACTATATGTGCAAAACACTTGATCAATAAAGATTAGCTTAAACATCATTCTGTCTAGCGGTAATTTCATTCGTGAATTTGAGCTCGCATGTAATGGTTGTTATTTGCAATAGTCGTCAACTCGGTGATAGAACAAATTGTAGTAAATGCTTCCGTTGTTTGGCAAGAATTGATGAAAAACATGGCAGCAATTTTGGGGAAAGGGTGACACAAATAAAGAGTAAAAATGATCAACATGAGTCAGGGACTGAAGTGAAGGATTGGAATCAGGCTTAAAGCAGCTGTAAATTGTTGGTAATGTAGGTTTGACTATACTAACGTTTGGTTGACGTGGAATTAACATTAAACAATGTGTGATAAACAGATGCCTTCAGTTTTTAAAAACGTTCCTTGATGTGCTGTCATGGTACTGAACCAAGGCTAGGTTCGACATGCGTAAAACCCGAGGCCTACGTAACCTGCTTGATTCAGGTGACGGAGGCGTATTCCAGATGGCTATTTATTTGTTCGGGATGACGTGGTCGTAAAAGTTTTGTTAGATGGCCAAAAATAAATGATAACCCATTTACCTATGAAGTAATTTGAGCATGTTATTTCAACTCTTCCCTTTTATTGATTCTTAAGTGTAATCTAGTCCTCTCTTTTCATCAGGGTCTTTCAGTTTGGTGTTATTGTGTCTGCTAAGTATTCGTAACTAGGTCGTGGCGTTTGTTCCTCTACATGACGTGAAAACATTGGTGAATTTTCTCCAGGTGGCTTAATAATGGGTCACTACCTCCAAGGTTACTGTCAGCCGGTAGAACTTTGTTTTGTGAGTGTTAGTGGAATTATCTTTAAAAAGAACTTGTGTTCGAAATTGCTGTTGATATTCATGGATCAGTGCGACGCCTTTTAGCATTAAATACTCCTTATGACGTCATGCTAGTAAATTTTGTCGTGTTTAATAGTCTTTAGCACCACATTTCTATGATGAATGATTCTTTCCCAAATGTATAAGTACCACATTTCACGGTGATTAAAAATGGGATGCGTCTGTATTTTGCTTTCGGGTGTGTCTCAAATTTAGTTGTGTTCTCTCTTGTTTACTGATTGCACTGAGATTTTTACAGATTTCAACAGGAATTTGAGCTCTAAAAGTCCACCTGCCTCACTGACTTATTGATTGAAATTATCGCTCTTGATGTTTCAAACACACAAATCTTAGCACTGTTGTTGATCGTCACCACGACTGCGCCCTAGGGATTAAAATAGCTGCAGTTAAAATCCACCTCCGAGGAGGCCAGCACCCTCAGTAGTTGTTTTAAAATTATTGCTTCCCTTTCAAATGTTGCATAGAAGAGCACTCGGCTTTAATTATAAATGCTGGTAAGAAGGCGTTAAAAGACCTATCGTGATGTTTAAGGTGGATGTTCAACAGCAAAAACGCTCATCTATGTTTGCATGGTCTGCATGCTTGGCGGTTAATTTATTCACCTATTTTCGTTTCCTCTGTTTCATTTATCAGTAAAAATATCGTTGTTTCTCATTCATCCACTAACACCAGTTTGTTGTTATTTATGACAGTGACCACTGGACGTTGTTAGTGCAGATGAGAGCAAAGCCTACATTGGGGCACCTTTGTTAACCACACTACAAAACCTCATTCTAAGTCGTGGCAGAAAAATGCCAGGTGGAGAAAACCATAAATTCAATTCAACATCAGGGGCTACCCTAACGCACATATATTTGCACACACGCACATGCTTCGAAGTTCCCGAAAACCACTAACTTCCGTTGTTTGAAAGCCCATGTCGAGCAGCCTCATGTCACTGCAGTCATAAGGACATCAGGCTGTGTTCATCATGGTGAAGATGTCTTGTTATTCACTCTGTGACAGCGATTTTCCGTTGAAACTTCCACTTATCTGCCTAACGTGGCTGTTTATATCCAAAACTCGGAGGCTGGGACACCTGTTCATGTGCCCATGTACGCACAAATCACCAGTAGCAACGTGTCCACATTTCACGTCGCCGCAGGTGGGATAGTTGGCTAAAGCAATTGTGACGGCCAATTTCTCCTGTTTACGCGTTCGGCTGTACAGTACAGACGCAGAAAGGTGTGAGTGGACCTGGTCGAATAAAAGTTCTGTCGTTGGAGTTAACAAAAACAGGCATTTGCGGAGGAGGTTGTGAAACTCGTCAACATGCGTTTTGTTGTTACCATATCGTGCAACACGTATTTGGTTTTTCGTCCAATAAATAAAATAATTTGTCTTCTTCACTCTGAAGAGAGTATGCATAATTACTGTATGCGGTGACATCTTAATGTTGATCACTTTGAGTATATGTCGGAGAAATCGGATTTCATCTCCAATTAGGATCCTGCGTGAATAGTTCGTTATATTCATCCCGTATTTTAGTGATCTTGGGCCCAGTGGTAATTGCTTCCCAATGACACTGATTATGTTACGCCAAACGTTTGCTTAGATGAACCTCAATATATGTTTCCAATCTAACGGGATCGTAGGTTCACGAAGTGTTAAGCGACGATATATCTCGTTACAAATCCCATTTCTCAGCTAGAAGCAGTTATACCATTATGAAGAAACTGCTTTCCTGCAATAACCCTATGCTGACGGTTAATGCAGTTTTGTCTTAGGAGTGGGGAGGCATAAGAAAAAAAATTTAAACTACTATTACCTCTGTAATGTATTTATTATAAAAGCAAATGCACGTAGTTCCCAACATTGCTTTTTTTGTATCACTTGGGTGACACGTATTGAAGCAATATCACTTAACTAACAGCATGTTTTATCAATCCTTTAGGTGCGCGAGAAGCTAGCACAGTGCACTTGTGAACAGACTTTCCCGATGATCCGACTGAGCGAAGGACGCTACCTGTTTGGTGACAAGAGCACTCAAATATTCGTTCGTGTATGTGTGCATCTCTCCTTAGTCCGTGCCTTTTTCCTTGCGTTTAGTCGATTGTTCTAGAAGAATATTTGAACATTGCACTTCCGTGAAGGCAACACTCAGCTACCAGCATACAAAGAATTCTTTCAATAATTCTAAATCCCCTCATATTACAAAATTCTTATCATCAAGTTATGTAAGGCCAAAAGTAACTTGAATAGAATCGCATACTTTTCTGGTACATTCGTGCATGTATTTGAAACCCAGCATTCCTGAAAGCCCATAAATTAATGTAAGAAGTCACACTTGGTGCGCCTCCCTTACCTAAAGTGATGTGAATTTAATAAATTTTGGACGGGTAAAGTTTCAGTTGTAACGTTAACCTTATTTCAGCCTGCTCAGTTTGAAGGAAATTATAAGAACATGAATTCGAGAAATTTTATTTTGGGAAACCTAGGTTGACTGATGGCCAAAAAACTTGACGCAGTCATAGGACATTAGGCTAGCTTTTTTCAAGTGGCTACTGCATGTAAAGTAAAATCATAATGTTGCGGTTAACAGATCTACGTGAAGGTTGTAGTGAAGTAAAATCACCAAAATTCTACTTACCCACATGAAACATTGTAAGTAGATATTCACCTGATGCAAGCGTAGCAAACCCACCTCCCATCGTTCATTCAAACATTTCTTTCAATTTAACTGCAATCGTTCATCTGATGTAAAGCCCGCTCTAAATTAATGAGGCTGGCAGTATAAATAATTCTTTACCAACCGCCATGTGTTGTTAGAGTTCAAGTGAAGGAAACGTAAGCGGCATGGCTATTAATTTAATTTCGTACTGAGACACGGCAAGTGCAGGTCACTGTTTTGCTGAATGAAAACGGGGCTAAGGCACTTTCGGTCTGCAAGCACCCTTGCAGACTCGATCGTCTGAAAAAGAGCTGCCCACATCCCCTAGTTGATGCACAACACGGGCTAATTAGCATACATGAGCATTTGTAACTGACTATGAATGTTATCAGTTTAAGCATGCTTTGTGTCTTCCCTAGATTCTCAGGAATCATGTGATGGTCCGCGTTGGTGGGGGCTGGGATACATTAGATCACTTCTTACAGAAGTATGATGAGTGTCGGAAAGTGCAGAAACCAAGTGAGTTTGTGGTGTTTCTTGTGAATGCCTCCTATGTCACTAGTCTTCTTGCTGCCCTCAAGTGCACTTTGGAATATTAGTTTAGTCGTCTGCAGAAACAAATTCAACTACATTACACCAAAATGAATTTAACAGTTTTATCTTTAACTTTTCAACGTTATCTTTAAAACATACCCAATCTAATGGAAGCTGTTAGGGACTCCAGAAGACGAACATAAGATATTAACATTGATTGGCGGTGTGTTAAATTGGAACACCGCTTACATAAAGCATACTCGTCCCTTTCCTTGGTTTAATGGTAAACCTTCAGACGTTGCTTTTTTCCGAATCCGAAAACTGACACCTAAATATATTTCTTGTCCTGTTTTAATCTGTCATTTGGGATGGGAAAAAACTGATCCTCTTTCACACGCGCATAATTAAGCTGGACTTTGTGGGATAATTCATGGAAATGATGACTGGATTCTAGCGTAGACTTGTGTGCACACAAACACACAAAACAATCCAAGAAAATGCTCTGCTGGATAATATTTGCAACTTTTACATTTTCCTTTGGCTGACAAATCCACATAGGTTTGAGAGTCATAACGTAAACGGAAATAAAAGCCACATATTTGTCAAGGCACCTTTGCCCACTTTCGCCAATTAACTAGTCCATTTGAACGATGTGCATACTGTTTACCACAGAACTTTGTTGTCTCGTTACAACACTATTAGAGGCTACTGAAGGTGCTAGCAGAGGTTTTGTGTGAACTTCAAATGAAAGTGTCACGTTGTTTGTTTACGATCCACGATTCACCTATGGCAGTGATTTTATTTTGGTAAGCGATGTCATCATTATTTTCACCATCTGGTCACTTTAACTTAAATTAATCAGGAACGAGTGCTTCTCCAAAACCCTGCCATATTTCTCTCTATTTGAAGCCCACTTTAGCGCTCTGCAAAACCATCCCGAGACAAATGGATTTATGCACGTTTCACATTCCTGTACTAGAATTGCCACTTTTATGAACAACCACAGCCTTTCCTAATAGAACAGGAAATGTAGTAATTAGGGTTAATTGCTTCGCCTATGTCACATAGTAATTTCACAACTAGGTCAATTTTTATGGGTTGATTAAAGATTGTGTATTTAGGTACCCTGTACCGATCTTTGCACCAAACATTCGTGCTTCGCTTCATAACGAAAGCAATACTTTTTTCATCCTTTCAGGTAATGTATTTGGAGCTGAGAGGCGCTCTAACTCCAAGAAAACGCACCCAAACTCAACGGATAGCAGTATTCTAGACATTTCTAATCCGACCAATATCCTCCGTGCTGTTTCAACAGATGCAAGTCGAATGACAACAAGTGGTGAGGCATCTTGCCACCTCCTCGGTGAGGGTAATCTCCAGGTGACGAAAAAGGGGAGAGAGGTGGTATACACGCGTGCTGCTGTCCCTCCTTACGAGCCCTCTAAGTGCAGCTCCAATTTCCATAACCCAAAGGAGGTTGGTAGATGTACAAATTCGAGCAAAATCGACTTGGATATCAGTGGAGGAATTGCAGAGAAAGCACTGTCGCCAAGTTCGAGCATAGAAGAATTTGTGCCGTCCACTATGGTAACCTATTTACTTTGACTGCAAATCATTCAAAACACAGTAATGAACGTACTAAACTGAATTTATCGACAGACGAGGTGCTTTCTTTAGTGACCACCATTTGGAGCACCTCAACTAATTGAGTTATTTTTGAAACTTTCCATAGTAAATACAGTATTCAGTACTGTACAAAATCCATTACCAATATTGATATTAGTTGTTTGTCAGCAGATGTGGTTTTAATACAATGAACAGGTGGCTTTCTGTTTGTTCCGATCGCTTTGGTTTTGATGACAACGTAAGAATACTGTACCAAAAAGCCTTCATTCTAATGCTGCTCACTTGACTGAACTTACCTGGATACAGCTTGGTTCTACTTGGGACTGCAATTAGTATTTAGTACAGGATACCACAATTGACTTTCTTACTATCGAGCTTTTGAAACAATAGACCTTACTCCCTGGAACCTCGTACATGAACTCCAATGCTGCGTTTGCTGTATTTTTGCTTAACAGATAACGGAAAAGTCCAAAACAATTTTCATTCCACAGAGTTCCCCAAAAAGGTCCATAGAAACGATGATATCTATGAAAGAAAATCAGAAGGAAGCCCTATTCACCCAGAACAGCGGAAGAGCGAAGACAGGCCTCATTTCTCCAGCCTCGAGCATTGAGGACTTGCAATCGATCCCCGTAATTGACCAGGTAAGCATTTATAACAAATTACGTAATGTTTCAGTGGTTAATACCTCTGCATAACACCCAAGGACATTCACGTTGTTATTTTGATACACACTGTCGCAGTAAAAGTGGTGGATAAGAAGATGTTAGGCGTGCAAAAAGGCCTCAGAGCGATTGTGTGATCGCCCATCCCTAAAATGGCCCAAGTATTGCGTGAACGGGTGTCATTTGTCACAGTCCTCGGGGCGCACATCTTTTACTGGCTTATTGAGAGGCCGCAACAGATGGTCACTGGATCTCCACCCACCATGTGGACGAAAATGGTACTAACATCTGGGCGAAGGTGGCTGTAAATCAATCGACACCATATGCTCCCACTACACACAACAGCAATCCAGGCAGCGACTACACAATGTGGTTTCGCACCGGCCAAGTCCATGTTTGCACAATGTACAACTTTAAACTCGGGGCGCAAAGTGAAGCAAAAATGGGGATATTTATCTTGTAGGAGACTTCGTACAAGATGACTAAGGCACCTCGGTCAGGTGCTAAAAATTATTTGTCACAAGCACTATGTGTAAAATCACTTTGAGTTGTTATAAATATTAAGCATCTTGCAGCATTGGTTGAATTTTGAATTAAACATTCGCAGAATACATACCTTCGCCCCAAATTTTGCCGAAAATTACTGGCTTAGCTTTTGTGTAAAAAAGCACTAAGCAAAACTAGATTTCATGTTCAATGCTTTCGCATGTCAAATGACCAATAAATGAATTTGAAATACAGAGTGTGAGTCAAAATAAAACACATTTTTTTAAACAATCAAAGAAAAATTGGAGAAGGGCATGGTCAACGAGAGTGCGTGTCCAAAGTCAATACATTCTTCCTTAAAATATCTTCAGATTTCAGATCGTTTGGCAATGCTAACAGATTTAATATAAAATTAGAAGTATGCATAGGTCAGGCCCACATTGTGGGAGGCGTATAAAGAGCTTTCCTGCCTTCTGTTTCAAAGTCGTGAAAAAACTAACCTTATTCCACTCACTTGACACTTGACCGGTGTCCCGTAGTCCTCCTGCACGCTAATGGCGAGCTTGGCCATCGTCGACCAAAACACTGCGCCACTTTCGGGTGCGCAACACTACCGTTGCTGCCACAGTCAAACCCAACTAACGGGCGTTGCCATACTCACCGGAAATCGAAATCATTCAGCTTCTATGAAGCCTCTATGTGTGTTTTTGATAAGCCAACAAGTTCTCAATGAAACTCAGAGAGATGTAGCAAACCGCTCTCTTAGCTCTTATTTCTCCCCTTTGTTGGTATCACAAATTAGTCAGCCATCAAAAACTCTCAAAGTAGTCGCTCCAGGAAACCTCCAAACCTTTTTATAATTTCCTTCCAGGATAAAACTTACCGAAAAAGAACCACTATACGAGGCTGCAATTGCAGTGAGATTAGCAGAAAGACAGGAAGATGATGAGTAGTCAATTATAACTTCAAAATCGGCGATTCTTTCAAGCTTCATTTGAAATTACGTCTTCCTCATGTTCGAATATTATATTCGAAATAGTTGGTTTAACCTAGGTCTAAACTTGCTCTTCACGAGTGTTTTTTGATCACAACACTCGCCTATCTGGGTGATTCTAAAGACTAAATTATTTTATTCGCCACCATTCAAATTGCCGCTACTTCAGTTATTATTCCCGTAGCCAAGTCGGGTTTAAAAGCTTCGGACGCATGTGCTTGAAAAAATTATTGGAATTTTATTGTTTAACGGATTCTTTATTTTGTTTGGTGTTTGGAGCACAAATATTTATTAGGTGGATTTCGGTTGATGGTGTATGAAGTATCCATGAAGTGGAGTTTTTTTCAGTAGAGGTAGGTTCACTTAATCTGTTTTATCCCGCCAGTGGCTACGAAACGCCTATCAATGGATGGTTACTAAATAGGCTGATAAAAATACGCTTAAAACAGGATTGGCGTAGGAACAACTCACTGTGTAGGGTATTTGCAAGGACCCAAATTGTAGTTGACGGTTTTTTAAGGTGATGTACAGTAAAAAAAGTAGTGGGGATGAATATGTCATTTCAATTGGACTAGTAAAATTCCATATAAAAGATCTCCATTGCCAGCGAAGTAAGAGGAGTGCCAACAAGCAACTGTTGTTCCCCGCTCTGTTAAATGTTCCCTAATAGGTGACCCGAAATATTTCGACTCCGACCGTCGTGACACCTGCTAGGCGCTCTTGAAGGGAGCCTGTTTTTCCAAAAGGCAGCAGCTGCTGAAAGCACGAAAATCAGACCTGTTTGGATGTTTTACTATTTGAAAGCCCTCAACGTTTGGATGAACCAGGACAATGATTACGAGATTCACAAAAGGGAGCAATGTGTACTCCAAACCTTTATTTTAGATCCAAAAACATTACTTCCAGCCTATCTTCCTTAAGAGGGAATTCTATGTCGTATTATGCAAATACTTTTCTTATTCATGAAGACAAACACCCAGGGATAAGTAATCCACTTTCTCGATGGCATTTGTTTTCCTCCCAGGTTGTCAGTAGATCCGATGGGGGATCCAGTTTTAGTAGAGTCAAGCCCACCCCGGGGAAGAAGGCAGCAGATGTCAAGTCAGACCAAACCCTATCATCTCCCAACTTTAAACGTGGATCGGGCCCCAGCAACAAAAGAATATTTAACCCTTCGGGTCCAGTCAACGCGAACCGACAGCGGGCTACATCAACGCACAACCTTTCACAGAGTGGTACATCGCCTAGATCAACTCTTGGAAAATTTTCCAAATCAACCGCATCCCTCAGTGACTCATTTTCTAGCACCCGTCCCATCAAACCCATCGCCTCTCAAGTAGATCAACGAGCTGCACTCAATGCAGCCAAGCGCGCAAAATCAACGTCAAACCTTGTTTCCGCTTCTCCCGCAAGTAATCAGGATAGACAAACGACGGATTCATCGAAGCTTAATGTATTTGACCGGCTATCAGGGTCCACTTCTCAACGCTCGAATATACCAAAGTTGGCAACACCTCCTGCAACTCCGATCAAAAAGCAAAAATACCAACCAGAGTATACCAAAGCGCCGACAGTTAGGCGTCGTAACTCTTCTGCCACGGCTAAGAGAGTCGCCCAAAGAGAAGAAAGACAGACGAACCAGAAGACCCCGATGCTTGCTACAGGAAAACAAGAGACTCCACAGATTCTGGCGCCTGTCAGATCGAACCCAACGCCGCGACGCGCCTCGGTGGCTCGGATGCCTGCGGAAGGCACTCGAATCCCACGACCGGTGAAAATCCTCACGGTAACCGAGGGTAGATCCAAATCCGTTGGGTCCAACCTACACCCAAAGCGCGGTTCTGTTGCGTAGAAGGTGACTGCAACTACATAATCCCACAAGTCTTTCTACTTTGCAGACAAAACAGCACAAACACGCACATTCCACCATGTATGCCTTACCCCTGCCTCAGTTAACTGTGATACGAGCAGTTTTCCTCAACATCATGTCCCAACACCGTAATGAACTATGGCATGAATATTTGTACAAAGTGCTGCTATCATCTCAATTACTCTATTTATACACGAATGGCAACTTTGATAATTTTGATTACACAAACAAGTAATTGCTCTAATGGGTTTACTTTCTACGAAAATTCAAATTTATATATGAAAAGGTCAGGTAAAAAGAAGTTCACTGATAGAGTCAAAAGCAACATTGATGGGTTATCTTAAATTAAGGTAGGTTGTGTTTAAAAAGGGATCACAGCCGTCAGGATAAGGGATTGGCCATTTCGTAATGCCATGAACACGGTTGCAAATTTGGCGTCGATCCTCAGCGCTCCACAGCCTTGCGTCGTTGATAGAATAACACGTAAGCATGGGGTGTCACAACACTGTCTCTTTTGATTTCCTAAAAGTTATACAATGGAAAGCAGAATCTGCGATTGACGGTCGGACAGCCAAGACACCAATACGAATTGTAATAGCATGCACATTAATGGTTGTGACTGAGACGCCTGTGGGAGCGAGTAGTAATTTGACAATTAAATTTGCGTATTTTAGCCATGATTACTTAGTAATTCCTTAAAAGACTGTTTCACAGTAATTAAAATATTATTTGCATAAGGAAACGTCACTTGTAATCAGGTTTGCATGCTGCGAAACTTCACAGAAAGTGCGTGCTACATTTTAAGAAATCAGTGTCTGAATCAGAACAAGCCCAGAAGTTTCCTAGATCTGTGTGTCTGGTGGAGCGAAGCAGCCACCAAGCGCATTCACTCGGTGAGGCGCGGTAGCAGTCGCTTAACTACGCGGGTAACTTAAACGCATTAGGTGAAGTGAGGAGGTGTACAAAGTGAGTCACACGCCAGCACTACATTTGAGAAGCTAGAGCGAGAAAAATATCACAGAGTTCTCCTCAAGGCCAACAATCATGGTCACCAGATTGACGCCAGATGAAAATTCCACCATTTTCAATAAGACTTGCTGAACGCATCAGTAGTGCTTGCACCTGAAAGCGGGGAACATCTTCTGGAATAAAGTCCTGCACCATTCTTCTTCACATTCGCATTAGGAGTCAGGGTCAGTCGGTACATTTGTTGAATGCCTGCAAATCGCTGCCTGCCTTGTCTCATAAAATGCACAACTGCTGAGAGCCTTCCAAGTGTTGACTAGGCATTTCATTCTTGCCTCCCATAAAAGGTTGGACATGTGTGATGCAGATTTTGTGCGAAGCACCACCAAAGGCCTCGTTATTTCCAGCCTCATCAAGGGCCGACCTCGCAGCACATTTTGAAATGTCGCTTGTCGTCAGTCGGGTGATGCTATACGCAACCGAACGGACGTAATTGATAAAGGGAGTGTAGCCAATTGTCGGAGAACTTCGTACATCAAAATTGTACTTTAGAATAGACGTAACTGTTTTTAATTAAAAAACCAGAATTATTTCAGCGTGATAAACGGTACTTTCCAAAGAAGGAACAAGCTAGCACACTGGCCAAAATCAGCATTTTGCAAAGTGTGTAACGGGCCACAGTTAATCACTCGTAAAAGCATTCGAAATGGGGTTGTACAAGCAAGAAGTAAGCAAAGAGTGGGCGTGGTGTGTTTTAGCACCATGACTAAACACAGCTTGTTGATATGAGCGTCAAGTTACACAAGACCAAATTCCACATTCCGAGTGGATTTCGTTAAATTCCTGTTAGGTATAATACTGAAGTCTCACCAAGGTTGTCTGAAGAAAAAGAGAACGGCTTATTTGCTTACACAACACTCGGTGTCGTTGACTTGGAACCAGCGCTCGTCTTCATTTCGTACAAAGGCATAGTAGTGACCCTCGTCCAGGTTGCCCACATGATTTACCACGGCGTACAGGTCGTACACAGCGTCGTCACTGTCACTGCTGTCGGTCGCGAGGTAAGGGCGCATATCCAGTGACGTCAGGGGAAAACAAACATCCCTTGAGGATTTCCTCCAACCATGACGTGTTGCTTGGAATCTCTTCAGGGAGATAAGCTGCGTATGCAAGAAAGCAAGCTTCCTGTGACTTTTAATTAACATTATGACTCATACTGTTGAAGAGATTCGAAGGAAGGACAACGGATGCATGCGATTAAGTAGAAACGTTTGCATCAAAGCAAACTTGAAAATTATTTGACAATTCGAACTTGCAGTCAAGCTGTAAGGTGTGTGAAAACACTAGATGACTGACCCGACGTGTGAAGTGGAACCCAAGGTCACTACTTTGTTCATTGGTTTTACATACCCACAAACGATAGCAAATTAACGCGGTGAATAAATGGTGACTTTGTGTTTCGTATGCTTTATCGACAACTCTAATAGAGGGAAGAGCACAGGCAAGGCAAAAAAGCAACAATGACGCAGAGAAAAGAAGTAGTTTAATCTGTAGGCTATCGGATGTTGGATATCGGAGAAACTGGAGGGGATGACTAAATCTAGGTCCTAAATCTGCACTGTTCAGACGATTCCGATACAACAAGAAGGTTTTCCTTCGTTTAAAGCACCACGATGGCCGTTCGGTTTTACCAATCCCGTTGAAATAAAGTGTACAATGACTTCACACTAGTAGATTCCGTAAAATAGTGACGCTGCACACCAAGTCACCAACGAAGGGTCAAGTTTCCTGAGGGGCCAATTTTTGCTGAAAGGCCCTACATAATTTAGTTCGGGTATGAACGTATTGACAATTAACCACTGGCAAATACGGAATTAATTTCTTGAAGGTCAGGGCCTGATCATGTATTAATGTGTCTGTGCATTCTAATGCTTCAGATCATTTGTGATTTCACATGGCAGCCTTTAGCGATACGGAAATGCCACAATTTGCTATGCCTCACTCTGATAAGAAATGAGAGCCCAATCAATAGAAAATTTCGCGGGGTTTAGAAGTTAGGTGGCGACATTTCTACAAATTTTTGATTTTTCGACTAAACTAAGATTGTGCACAATTTCAGAGGAATAGGCACGCAGATCTCTTCCCATTTATTTGCACGGTATTGCAACAGCAAACTAGAATTAAGTGCCTGATTAGGAATTGCACGAAAGAATGTTAAAACGTCGTTCTCGTGTGGAAGCATAACAAATTCAATCGTTTCCTTACCACTAAAGCTCACCCCGGAAATTCACGGGTGACCCGTAACGTTTGACCATAAACACATTTATAAAGATAAAAATTTTAACTTCGATTGGGTACTTGCATCCATTATTTAACAATATTTTCACAAACATATCCTATAACTAGCCGCGAGTGTTCACGCGTTATTTTTTTACAAATTCTTTGTAGAAACTGCGTGTTTCCTCCCCTTCAAGAAAAGTCGCAGAGTATTTTTGACTCCCTTCATAGATTCATTTTTCGCCATTCAAATCCTTTGTGCAATGAACAAAACTGGTGAAAGTCAGGATGGGGAATGCCAGGGGAATAAGACGGGTGGCAGATGATTTTCGGTTTTAACTTCCTATGCTGTTGCTAAATTATGTGGGGCTTTTAAACGAAAATTGCCCCCTTAGGAAACTTGACCTAGTCTTGATCTGCGCCTTAGTTGATGACCTGGCGTGCAGTGGCGCTACTTTGCCGAATTGGCTAGTCTGAGGCCATTGTGTACTTTATTTCAACAGGATCAGTGGAACTGAATGGACATGGAACACGGTGCTTCAACACGGAAAACGCGACTTCCAACAGGCGTTCAACAGTTTCAATTAAGCCAAAACTAGGTTGAAAAAGCGGGTCTGAGATTCGGGCGTGAACACACACGGTTCCGTGGCACTTCATTAACAAGCATTTTACCATCTAATCGAGGTTTTTTTTCTCCCAATTAATGCGCTAATTTAACCGGCAAAAATAACCACTACATGCCTTAGACCCTAAGGTACATTGTAAGTCTCAAAACACTGCCATTAGTAACTAGAAATTAATAACAACAATACTAATAGTAATAAGCCCCACAAGCATGTTTTGAGGAGGCTGTTGTGTACGCTTGAGCAAAAAAACTGTAGCTGACCAGTGTATCGGGCAGGTTGCATATAGCGATGGATTTTGCAAAGGATTTCTTCGACCCACAAGGCTCACAAACAACACCTTGCTCCTCCTGGACAGATTCTTCCCCGAAGAAGTTGTTGAGGAGGCTCGTTAACTGGATTGGCCTTTTAGCGGGAGGTAAATCTTCCTCGAAGGTGTCACGTCTTCTCACTACCTAAAATGTAAAAATACCACGGCAAAATGCACGGAGGGCAGACAATGATAAGCTCAATGCTATTTTTCCTGCTTCCCAGATCAAGGAAAAAGGTAGAAAAATTGATGTTGGCATTTTAATCGGCAGAGATTAACTAAGCTACCTGCAGTACCATATTTTAACAGATTAGAGGAAAAATAGGAAACGCTTACCATTTGCTGAGCTAATTGGTACTCATTAACATAGGCTGCCAAATTCCAGTCAATGGTAAGGTAGACGCATCCATCCCGAGAGTGAACGAGACTTAGGTTGTTTGAATCGCAGGGAATAGAACAGCCATAGCACATTCTGTTGAAAGGAAACAATGAGGAAAAAGTAGTCGAGGTTTTCAACAAAAAATCATGAGACAGCATACTTGGACCACGGGCACCGCGAGCACATCCACCAAGGCCTTGACACGGTCTTGAGTTCAAAAATATACTCCCCGGAGTCTGATACACTACAAAACGCATACATTTAGTGCCGTTGGCAGTTCGCACAGGCCGGATTCCTAACCAATGCAGCACGTTTCTGATAAAATTCCAGTATTAAAAAATTGAATTAACACAATAATATTTACTAAAATATAATAAATAGCCAGTATTGCAGTGATAAATAATTCGCTAATCGACCAGCATGAGTGGCTCTTAAACATTATTCAGCAAAGATTACTAAGCAAATAGGATATCTAAAATAGTAGGGAATGTTTAGATAGATAGTACATTGATAATATATAATTATGATGATTGGACTGCGCTGTTTTCATGGGACCCTGTGAAATGCGCTCTATCTATATGTTAGACAATTTTGTGAGTTTTGAATGGTACATGCACTTTGTTGGACGAAAAAAAAAAGCTATTTCTGTCAAGTGTTACACCACACACACCTATGGTAGAAAAAAATTAAGAAGTACCTTGAATAAGACTACTAATTTTCATAGTGTTTCAATGACAAGCAATATTCTTAATGCATTTCTAACTCATGCATTGTACTTGAATTCAGTTCCTGGTTTAGTTAGAATTAAAAGCACGATTAATCAAGAGGGAACTGACCAAGAGAATTACAGAACAAAAAGCTTTTTATACGCTAAAAAATTTTTTTCTTTTTGTGTTTATTTTATTTTCCCTAAACGATATGTTAACCTTATGTTAACAAGACAAGAAATGGTAGCACTAAAACGCTGACCCCTTTAAAATGCGGCCAGACATTAGTGTATTTACACGCGTTGCTCAAAAAGGCAACCAGCAAAAATGGATGCGCAGACACAGCGTCGGAGCCCCGGCACACGTGCGTCGAGAGAGCCCGGGTTACCGTGGCGGCGGCGGGAGTGCCTGCTTGGCGGCCAGCGATAGACTACTTGGGCGGTGTAGGCTTCGAAGGCCTCACACGTGCATGTGGTTTCTGCTCAAAGGCAGACTTGGCTTAAGGACAAACCCCGCTCGTTAATTACTTTCCAAAGCACATGCACATTGGAACTATGTTCGTTAATCTGTTGAAGCAAAAACTTCCGGGGATGCCGCCAAATGGTTGAACGTAGTCATTGCGAGATAATAATGGCCACGAATAATTAATTAATGTGATACCATCAAGAAAGTAGTAAAGAGATGACGGGCTTTGAAGTTGAGCATCACTCCACACCACCAATTCTAGGTGAGTTTAATGCTAGTCAAGCATAAGAAGCGGTTCACTGTGATGGTGTGCAGGTTACCGCTAAAATGTCACACGCACCTCCAATCTGAGGCAGAACACGGCCTGGACGAGGGCCTGTAAATGCCGTCCAGATGGAGCGTGTGCCACTTGGACGCGGCCCTGCGGCAGCCCTCGTGAAGCTCCGGCTTCCTGCTCGACTGGTGAAACCGGTGAATGCACCTTTCCACCAGCCAATAGAGTTCCCTGTTTGTACTGCTAGCAGATACCTGGAGGACGTTGGGTATTCCAAACAATTCCGGCTTAACTGAGGTTTCTTTGAACAGTGGGTACTCAAATGGGACCTTGAAGGAAAAATGCACTGGAGCGAGAACCGACTTTGAGTAAGCACTGTATACAACGCCGGATCGATTGCTAAATTAAATTGTGGGCTCGCTGTGCTAATGGGATTAGCATGTGTTATTGCCGCATAATCAAATGGTGACAGAAAGCAGGGGCATGGCAGCAGCATGCTACTGCGTCGGATGCATGATGTAGGAGAGGAGGAGCAGATTGAATTACAACATTAACATCTAGACAAGGCATTTGATTACATGACGCCTGCAAAACAGACAGTGCTGCAAGGAATCTTACTACGAAGCTTTGTGCTCAAGCTTAAGTAGGAAAAGAAAGCCTTACTCGAGGTTGGCATCCTTAGATTTGATTCTTGATTTTAGACATTCACTCAATAATATCTAACTATTTCGAATTGGTATGACAAGATGATTAGCAGGAACAAAACATAATTCGGGTTCTCAAATATCGAACTTACCAATACCCGGTTTTGCGCGACTATTGTCAATATTTTGCTTGGAACAGAGGTAAGCTTTTCACGGTTCACTAAAACAAACCATAAGTAGTAGTATAAATAATGAACCTGAGAATCCTTTATTCATTCATGGGTTCTACAGTTACTTACATGGAGGACGTTGTGAAAGGATAAAGGCCCATAATTCAGACGTAGGGCCAGGTAGTTCGGGCTCGATGCTACATTTCTAAAGGAAGTAAGATAGTAAAAATACTAAATTTATGTTAATAGCACGGGCAAGAATATTGACAATTACAACCCATCTTAAAATAGAACTCGGCTTTAAATATCAACAATAAAGTCACAGAGTAAGTTCAGGGCTGACAGCAAGGATCTAATAGCCTGCTGAATTGCAAATTGTGCTGAATAACGAAAAAAACATGTACATGAATCTTATAACCGTGTCTAGGAAAATAAATTGCAGTAGTTGACCTAAGTATGAATAGAATTAACGAGTATTTTAAGACAGAGTCGATAACCTAAGGATATCAGTAAATTTGATTCGGCTTGGCAGCACACGGACAACGAAATGAGTGCCAAATTGCCATGTTTTGGTTTAGCCCATATTTATGCCTCTGTCGAGCTATCTCCAGGGAGAGTCGTGTAAAACCAACTACGTTCCTTAGAAAGGTTTGAAAGTCAATGCTAATGAAGCTTAGGATAGGCAACTAGGTAGGAACGCGTTTTTCTTGTAGACGTTACCGTCATTAGAAATTGCCTAAACGGGTGGAAACCAGATTCCCAAGGCATTTTCCAGGATCCACCCAAGAACTGAGAACACCAATAGTGCCAGCATTATCTTTTTGTAAGATAGGCATTTTTACCAAAACTTGGCATTGAACGTAATCCTTTCCGTTAGACCGGTTTGTGTGTACATGAGCAGCCCGATTGTAGCAGGCGCACAAGTTTACAAAAGCTGCCCAGTTCAAGACACCCGTGCTAGACCCATGCGTAACGTTCCCGATAGCACGAAAGACATAAAATGCTACAATAACCTCCGTAACCACGCGAGGAAGCATCAGTGCCAAGCATTCACTGCTCTAAGTCATCAGATCAATCCTCCGTATCGGCAGACCGCCTCAGCACCCATTCCCATGGGCACCCAAGCATAGGCCAAGTAAAACCCGCGCGCGTGACTCATTCCCCATTGGTGTCAAACACGTACATAAGTCGATACTTTGCAAATTTCTACTGTTCATAAGTTACTTTCTTCATTGCAAGGGGAGTTCGACAAACTAATTTATTCAAGGCGTCCTTTGTTAGCCATTTTGGTACCTTCATATAAGAGTTCGTGCATTAAATTATGAATGGCAAGGAACACAAACACTTACCATAATCACTCCTTTGCTAAGCACGCAAAAAAAGAGCTGAGTCGGGAGACAACTATATTTCCGACTCAACTCATGTCGGACATAACTACTTTCCTCGGGACCACTGGTTTGCACGTGAACAATTTCCGGCACTGCTCCAAAAAAAGGCACGACTATAAAATAGGGAAATAACGTCAATGAACATATCCGATTTAGAGAATCTTTTTTTCGGTATCAATGACTGGTACATGAAAAGAATTAATGCGAAATAGTGCAGTTATTAACTAGTTCCATGAGTGAAATAGGGATCATAGTTTATTAGGCAAGTATAAAGACTTACCTTTGATAGTGACTAAGTGAGTTTCAGCCATCGGGAAAGGAAGGGTGAGGCTGGAAAATGGGTCGAAAACTGACGATTCATGTCCACAATCGCGAAATTGACATCGAGACTCGAATAGCCCGTAAAAGGTACTGGTAACAGGGGAATCGTTTTCTAGACAAAAATTTTCCCACGCCTATAAAAAACTGAATATATTTAATGAAACATACACCATGGATTATTGTGACATGAAATGAATCAAAATCGTTTGCCGATTTCCCCCTCACGAAAACAGATCACCAGGATTTTCAGTGAGCTCTGGAAAATCTCAAACGTGATTTAACGTCACAGACAGATTTACAATAATTACAAAGGACCAATTTGTCGAACGTCGATAATAAATTCTACAAGCATACGAAGAGGGTTAAAATTTAGGCCGACTTCTACATCACCCAAGGAAAGATCAAAGACAGGCAAGGCGCCATGATGTGATACCTGAGAGGATGCAGATACGCGCTGTCGTGGGCTGAATGTTCCATGCATTCCACCAGGTTGAGCAGCGCTAATTTTACGCGAAAGTGTTGAGGTGGCTTTTTTCTTAAGTTCTTCATTCAGTAAATCAATCAGTATGGTGAGGAACTCTTGTGCATCCTGTTGCGAGAATGAATTGAATTGGGGACACCGCTGAACGAAGACACTCTAAATGCACAGGAGAGCGAGTGATTGACAAGGAATCCAAATGACTCACTCGCAGGGCCTGAGGGCAGAGAACCATGTGTTCCTTTTTTTCCATTTTATCCATAAGTTTGATGTATTTCTTTGATAATCTAGAAACCATAAAGTGACAGGCAAGGCAATTCAAAGATAAGAGAAAAACCTAAGATATGATTACTTTGTTTCTGGCGTGAGATGCTTTCGGATGCGGTCCGTCAGAGATGGCGTCATGTGGAGGCATTGAATCACCGAATTAAGGTAGCAAGTATTTCCCATGTTTTTGAGGCCAACAAGTGGGACGACTCCTGTAACCGTCAGTAAAAAAAGTCGAACTGCAAACCCCTTAATTTGAGGCTTAAGATACCCTACTGCACGCATAGCACGCACACACTTGGGGTGTGGTTAGATATTATTCCAGTTTTGACTATGCCAATTGTTTGACTTAGTTTAGGCCTTTAACAAGTCAAAGTATATTTAATCACTCGATTGAGAAGGTCTAAATTAAAGGTCAGGAAGTTAATTTACATTAAATGTGATTTTTCGTCGACGATATTTAAACAATCAGTTCCACTTTTGATGGAACACAGAAAAGGAAAACAATAGTGAAAAATTCAAGTGCCCTTTTATTGTAGGGATCCTAGCGGAAGTAACAAAAAGATCAAATACAGCCAGGTGTTTCGATTATATTGATAAGGAATCCGAAACTAACCTTCGCGAGGTTGCTGTCCCAACGGCCATAATAGGAATTGGTTTTTGCCTAAAAGTAATGCAAGTACTAATATAGGAGTCCTGGCTTTGATGTGTTTGGTGAAGTAAGTCTAACGGCAGAAAACAAAATTAAAAATAAATAGTTTTAAAAACTACGAGAGTTGTTCGAACGTACACTCAACTACAAATTCAAAGGTTTCGCTGGTAGCCGCCATAGGGTCAAGTAACTCCTTAACGTGCTGTGAAGATTGGATCTGCGTGGCCAGAAACTCAGCAAGCTGTTGATCTTTACTAGCCTCCAGGTTTACTGCGGTCAAAGCAACATGTTTAGTCTCCTGTTTATTTGTTGCGACCTCGTCATGTGTGCCTGTCCATTGTTTTGAGTAGGGTTTTGACAACATGGAATTGGAAACTGGCCTGTTCACGAACCATATACGAAAGTTGTCAGAGGTGAGGTCCGAATTTAGATAAGACTGGAACAACTTGATAATAGATGCGGAGACTTCTGACATGGAATGACAGCGCGAGAAGGCAAAATATAACCCGTGGGCAGAGAGTTTTTGTGGAAGGACAAAAATACAGGCGGGTTTGAGGCCACTAGCGCTGACACTTCGCGCTTTCGACGTGAATTCAAGATCGCGGTGCAAAGCACTTGCGCCGACTTTCGTGCTGCCACCAGGAGAAGGCGCTAGAACCTCACTCTCCTTTCGGCTAAGGCGCCGATTGAGCCCTACAAGTGTCCAAAAGATCATCAAGCTACTAGATTCAACATCTTTAAAGTCGAAATATTTGAACCTCACTACTTATGAAATGATTATAAATACAGAAGTATACAGAAGCTCTTTGACTAGTATCGGTGCTGAGAAGATAAAACGCTTCATTACTCCAAATCCATATTTAAATATTGCAGCATAGCAAAACACAAGAATTTAACTTCACCATAATTTTCGTGAAACCTAGAAGTGTAACATGGCCATGTCTAAGACCTCAACAAGACCTGACCTCTGAAATGATCAGAGCCACTCTTGCTAAGGGAGGGTCCAAATCAGCAAAAGAGAACACCGCTCAATTCCAGTTTAAATTGCATCACTTTGATATTTACTAGCGTATAGGGAAAATGGATGCTCACGTGCTACGCAATAATTAATTGTTTTGCCACACGCTGCATGCAGGAAGCCCTGACTGGCACAGAAACTACTTAATTACAAAAGTCCACGGTCCGCGCACTTTACAAGTTCTTTTCAGTTATTTCGTAGGCATTTTACATGCCATTACACAATGAATGACAGTCACCAGCGGTTGACGCATCCAGAATAGCAACCCACATGTCAGGTGGTTGTGCGAAACTGTGATAGGTGTACACCACGCTCTCCGAGTGAAGATGTCATTTTAAAACGTCTGAAAGTTGCGTGGAAATAAAGCTCCATCGCCCTTATCAGTTTTAATACGACAAATACAATTTGATGTACCTGATCTGACATTGCATTTATCGCATGCATCTTCCAACGAAATGAATGAGTAGATTTTCAACTGACGGCACACAAAAGTAGTATTACAGAGGTCTTACTTGAAAGTGAACCCATATTTTCTTTAATTTTTCGGTTTATTGGAGAATTTGGGACACGTGTCGCCTTTGGTCCTTTGCTGGCGGTATTGACAATCGGTGCAGGTGAGACACGCAGTGTGACACCAGCAGTCCACCTAACCAACACCTTCAATGGGTGAATCTCTAAGGTCTCCTTAGCCGGGGCAGTAGCATCCGGTGCATAGAGTACGAGGTAGCTGGGTATTGGAATGGGATTTGTGGAATACCACTGGGGTATTCTGCGGGATAACCACCAGTCAACTGCAACGAACAGATCCTGCCTGTCTTCCGTCCCAAAAGAGCTACACATCGATTGGAAACGAGAAACGCCCTGCAACAGAGGCACACGCATGGCAGAAATGACGTTTATTCACACAATGTTTCAAGTGGCAGACAATTGTGCAATATTACTGGGTTATTTTTAAAAGAAGGAAAACGTGTATGAAAGCGTGACAACTTTTCCTAGAGCCATAAGCTAGCATGAAGCAATACTTCAATGAGAAGAAAGAACACAAGTAAAAATCTGAAAGCGGCAAGTTCAACTTTTCAAGCGCGATGTGCTGCTCTGTAGCAATGCTAGATAGGACTTCGTAACCTGCGAATTGCACAAACACTTCAGAGACTTTAGTGTGCAAACGGAGGTTACTTCATGTCAATTATCAAAGACTATGTAGACATTTAAAGTCTAACTTGTAAAGCTTCTTCTTGTGTCAGTTCTAGCACCTGAATGTATGCACACGCAACCGTCATAAAACAAACGAATTTGCTGTGGATATTACTAATGCTTTATGACTGACATCAAAATACATATTAAAACATTTAGAAACTACTAATTCGTGAAATTCAACTAGTCTGTGAATGATCTCTTTTATCAACAAGCTGATACATTTAGACTGCGTAAATCACCCGAGTTTTGTAATAAGCTGCTTTGAAATAAAACGTAGCATTTTAAATTGGAATTGCAGGAGTTTGAAATGGGAGCAATTATTAACTTCGGAAAGGACACAATAGATGTTAACAATTGGTCAAATTGCTTAATACATTTGAGGTCAATTAAAAAAGGGGAGGGTCATTTAGCAGAAAAATGAAAAGTGACAAGGTCTCCCAGGATCTGAAGTCAGATTTACTGACTATCATTAATTAAGTTCCCAGCGGATCCTGTTTGAGTACCTTTACAAAGTATGAATATGCGGGAACTGACCGAATTATACAAAAATCAACCAAAGGAGCTGGCCTTCTTCTGACAACTTAAAGAAGGTTTACGTAAACAGAAGTATTGGCTATAAAGGGATAATTTGAATTAATTGCGTAGATCTAGAGTGAACAATAATTTATTTTTGCCGCATTTTGATTTACAGTAGTATCGGAAGCAGCAAAAAATTAAATTCAAACAACTTCTTAGTTAGACAGTGGAACTTCATGAAGAGTGTTCAAAACCAAACACAATGCAGGAGAATAATCCATGCGCTTAGGGTTTATACAGTGGTAACCCACGTTTTCGTATACATGTCCTGACGTACTACGTGCATTAAGATTTTTAGGCTATTCCGGAGTCCGAGGATTGAGTCTCAGATGTGCTTCTGTGCGTGAAAAGAAGTTGCGATCCTATGAGTTCGGATGTTACGAAACTGAACTTGCATGTATTATTAGTCAGTCGAAATTTCCTTACATAGTCCGACACGACTAAATACAAAGTCAATGAAACAAACAGTGCAGATAAGTAAAACAAACGGAGGCATTTCCCCAAAAAGTTGTTTGACGAGGTCTATGGTTACCAAAGGAACAAAAAAGATTACTATGACTATGCTGTTCAGCCTGATGTGATACCAGTGGTACAATGAAACACATTTGCGCCCAAACTTTGACCACCACCACCAGCACTGAAACGCCTGAAGCTCGCGATGCCAATTAAGCATGCTGCACTAAAGATCAGTTCACTTTTAGGGTTAACGGCCAAAGGTATATACCGCATAATCCTTACATACCACCGAATTTCAGCAAACAATTCGTCTCATAGAATGTGCAAGACGTTCAGTATTACTCACTAAGGCTCGGCCACCTGCCTGGATGGAGCAACTGGCTGTACTAGAAAACATGCAAACGAACGCAAATAATAACAGAAATCACCCTAATCCACCAATTTGTTAATCGGTTTGAAGATTTTTCGAGGCAAGGTTAGGCAATTAACGTTAGCCACGGCCTTACCAGTGATTCGTCGACTGATTTGGCAGCACGCAAAACCGGAGTTTGATCCAGAGGTGTCTCAATCTGTAGATTAGAATTGCTTCCGCTTAGTAGAGACCGTCGGCTTATTTTTTTAGAAATAAGTGAGCGGCGAAAATTGTGATCTTTATCGCCTCCTGGTAACCGGTGTCTCAACATTCGGTCAGAGAACCAATGAAAATGTCTACGATACCGATAAAGTTTCACTTGGGATAATTTACTCGAATCGCTCAGGTCTTCTTCGCAGCTGAGGCTCTTGAGTCGATTTCTTTGCAGCACTGGTTCATTTAACAGAGAGTCCTTGACATGAGGCAGGGAGGTCGTGATAAGCCTCTGATACATCGAGACAGGGTGATAAGCTCCGGTTCTCCAAAGTTGTTCAGGTGGCTGTAATATCTTGATTAAGCAACAACGATAAACAATATAATCAACTATTAAGTGTTAGGGGCACGATGACTACTATGTAATGCAGCCTAATATGACATAATTTGAATTTTTGAAAAAATAAATTGAATGGACGTACGCAGGCACCAATTTAAATCAATGGGGAAGAGAAAGGCTTAAAACATTTGTGTAAATATGCATGCTTATTAAAGGTTTGTCCTACCGCGGCAAGTTTCTGTGTGGTTGTTGAAGGCTGCCATTCTAAGGAGGCAATGTACCATTGACTTCCCGGTTCAGACTTCTGCTGGATTATGTAGTACAACCAAATCCTAGAATAATAAAAGATAGAAGCACTTTCCTCAAACTTGGCCAAAATTGTACAGCTGTAAAACCACCTATTGCTAGACACAAGACATGGAGATCGAGAGGTTCGGAGGATAGGAAAAGCACTATTCTGATGCATTAATTTTCGTGTCTTGACAATAAATTAAACAGCAATGAGGTTAATTGTTCTCTCCTACTACAGCATTAAACTCGTCAAAGGAATACTTTAACGAGTCTAATATGTTTAAAATTGATGGGTGGCAAGCACTGTGTTGAATATACAGAATCTTAAAGAAAAATTGATGCCTGGAAAACATGTTAGCACAATCCTAAGCAGATGTGTGTGGAAAAGATTGTCAATATAAACCAGTGGTAAATACATGCAACATTCGTGATAAGTTATGTGGTCGTTTAAAGTGGCAATTAAAAACGAATAAGATACATTTTAAAGGTATCAGACAAGCTTACATGATATTCTCATTTGCCTCTGATTGTGTACGAGGAGGTGGTCCAAAAATAGTATGACCCACCTGCAAATACAAAATGCAAATCAGTGTTTGGGCTTTTACTATTCTCATGTTTTATTTGAAGAACCATTGTATTCAATTAGTAACTTCGGGGGAGTAATTTAAAAGGCATATTTTACCTTAACCTATTTGACGCTAAACAACTCATCGGCTCTCAATAAAATTTATAGCAATCCGGAATCCTTAATCTAGTATCGAAGTTGGTAATTCTACGTTACCCGGCGAGTGAGAAAACATCAGACACATGTGATTTAATAAATTAATATCTACTTTCACTTTGAAACGAAAAGAAGAAATTCGTCCTGTCCCAGCTACTGCGTAACATGAAATTACTTCTACAGAAAATTATCTACACAATGTTGCATCATAAGTAAGCATAACATTTGAACACGAGCTTAGCAAAGGGCGTTTGGTTCCAGAAAGAACATCAAGCATATCAAGATTACACAAGCGAACCCAAAAGTTTTCCATTAACGCTTGAAATGCGCCAAATAACTGCTATCAACCGTACCCAATCCATGAACTGTACTGAGCAAAACTTTGATACTCAAATAAATATAGTTTGAACAGTGGTCAAAATAACGGAGTGTAAGGTACGAGGAGATGCATCTGGCTTACTGCTTTTATGAATTTTACTAAGTACTGCCACGTCAGGTTTTCCGAAGGCCATGAGGAAAGGTCAGAGGTAGAAGCAAAGCTTTTCTGAAACCAAAAGGAGATTTTTATAAGAATCGCAGATTTGGGGAAAAAAATTAAGGTACTCACGGTCATGCGTGAGAAGGCCTTGTAGGTATATTAATTCCCTGTAAAAACTACGCAACGCCTTTGTGTTATGTTTATGTAGGATCTTAGATAAGGTATCGTGCATAAAATAGGGTTTCATATTCCAGATAGTACTGCATATTCTGAAGATTAAAGTTAAGCAATAGGAGTCACGGACTGACGCATATACATTTGAAAAATCAAGACGTATGCATCAAAAATTCATGCAAGTGAAAACTAGCGGCGTTCCAAATGCTACTTGCGTTTAAAAGCGTGTAATCGAAATGCTCTGCACACTTACAGTGTTGACAAGACTGAATAGACTTCCAGGGATTATCTACAAGAAATTGAAGTGAGACAAAAAATTTTCTAGTGCAGTCTTGAGGGTCTGCTACAGGGGTTTTCATGGCACATTGCAGCAGTCATGTGTGGCGTAATTGACGGACTACTCAGTAATTTGTTGCCAAGAGGCAGACACTGTCCTGTTGTTTAGCAAACACATTTCTTGTTGATCCCACTTCTATGTTCAGGGAGCTGGACTAGCTATTTAACCACCAAGTTTTTGCGTGCCATAAATTAATTGAAAACGCTTTACATGTTCATTCAAGCAAAATCAAGTAAAAGAAAAATGACCATACTTACATGGGGAGGGACAAAACGCCGTACTGTATGCTCGAAGCCTTTGTTATCAAAAGTCGCTCCCGAAGGCTTTGGCTTTGAAAACATTCGATAAATGCCTTTCGGTAACGAGATAAAAGGTAAGAGCAAAGTACACCAATGCCCATATAACGGCTGTTAAAATCGCCTGGTTTGTTCTAACAACAAAAACTTGGTTAATGCGTAAATTAGTACTTTGAAACTGTACAAGTTTTAAATTTGAATGCAGGTTATTGGATCATAAAATAAAACATGGCACACTAGAAAAGAGTGTGATTGTCAAAGTAAAATGAATGAAACACGAATTGACAAAGTGGTTGAAAACGTACATTTACTGAACTTCGATTCCGTAGAGTAGCACAACGTTGAAACACCTTGAAAAAATTCGCCTGAATCGATATATCCATCATGATTAAGATCAAAAAAATTGAAA